ATATAACTTTAGTAGTTTTCTTTATGAAAAATAGAGTATGTTCTGATAGACACAAATTGTTTTGCTGAAGAAAATAGTGGGTATCCAGTTTTCTTATAGAATTTTACTTTTTCTTTGACAATTGTAAGTTTTTATGGAGAAATGTGTGAGTATAAAAACATAAGTATATATTTGTATGTATAAAGTTTATAGAGTATAGAAAATATGACACAAAGACTATAGATTCTTAATATTTTCAGATTTAACATGAATAGTTTTGATTGAAAGTGGTTATATAGAGTGCTTGTTATTGTTATTTACTGAGGCACAGACATTTGATTTTGTGTGTTGTGAGTCTGTTGTGCAAAATCTCTCTTGGTGTGTAAGTCTTCCCAAATGTCCTGTACCCCCATCTCTGTGCAACTCTTTTGTTCTACACTCCCAACACTCGTGAGGTAATTCTTCTGAAATTAATATTAAACTTTTCTTCCTTTTTTAATGAAAAAAGAAAAGAAAAAACTCCTTTCTGTCCCCCTCTGCCTCCCAGGAAAAACCAACTCTTACATTCTGGTGGTATTAGAGAAAATAATTTGAGAAAGCGATGGTTCTTGGCTCTAGGGCAAATTTCTCCTTTAGTTTTAACTGTGTAGCATTTTAAAAATACTAAATGAGGATCACCTAGCATTTAAGAAGAGATATATAATAGTTTCCTCTATTTTTTTTTTTTTTTAAGAAATTATGTGCCAATTTGAAGACTTGGGCGTGTTTTGGGCTCTATGCAATACCCAAAGGTAGCAAATGTAGGAAGTCAGCTGTGGTGGTTCTTGACTATGGAAAACCAACAAGAGTCTCTGGGCAACTTTAAAAAATTACTGTAGAATAGATCTGAGTATGCTTTGAGTGTCTTAATTTTTAAGTTTCATTTTTATTTTAAGTTCTTTAAATGATTCTAACACTTGTATGCAAATGAGAGGTTTTTTTTTAAAAGAAAACAATTAAACAAAAACAAAAACTGTGATGTTTAATCACGATTTTATGTGACTCATTATAATTTATGTCATTAAAATTCAGCTGCAGTTAAAATTACTATATAAGATCTTAGGTGTCCCTAAAGTATCATGAAAATTAAGCTATTATACTTATAATGGTAAAAAATAGAACATTATTTGGAAAGTAGGTGGTGGTCTATGTGTGTGTGTTTATACATATGTACATATTTTTTTTTTTTCTTTTTAAAAGTTACATAGCAAACTTCTGGAGACAGAGCGCCAACTAGGGGAAGCTCATGGTAGGCTGAAGGAGCAGAGACAGCTTTCAAGTGAAAAGTTGATGGATAAAGAGCAACAGGTGGCTGATTTACAACTGAAACTTTCTCGTTTAGAAGAACAGGTAAGCTAGCATTTCAAATGAGCTTATATTACCAAGTTTATTGATAGACTTGAGGAATCTTAAATATTGTTACGGTCAATCAATCTTTTAATGGTCAAGAGCTTTAATTGGACTTTTAAAACAATCTTAAAGTGCAACATTTATTATTACCCAGTAATATCTTACTTATTAACTACATTAAGTCATTTTTGTTGTTATTGTATTCCCTAAAGTTCTCAACAAAAATGCACAAAGAAGACTATTCTTTCAGCTTTAGGCAGGAAAAATTCAGGGTGTGAACCTCTGTCAGACTGCTGGGGTCCTCCTACCCAGGAAGGACCATATAGTAATGAAACAGTGAACTATGAACTGTTGGTGAGGGTCATTAATGACATGTAGTTGGTACATATAAACTTTGAGTTTACCTTAAACTTTACATTTAAGGATTTTCACTTTTAAAAATTAAGTGTATGATTGAATGCTATCCTAATTAAAGTTGCGGTGGCTAAAAATGGTACCCATTAAATGGGTAAATGTTACCATTAAATTATATCTTTTATTGGAATTAAACATATATTCGAGGTTAAAATCTGTAGCTTCAGCCATAGATTTTCTTTTAGACCTAAAATTTTAGATGTGGTGGATGATCCTATTCTTTTCCAACTGTTATATGTTATGGAAAATGACTTATGGAAGAAAATAAAAGAAATACTGATAATATGGTTTAGACTATTGTTATAAATAATTTGTATATAGTTAATTCCTCGATCATGTTCATCTACAAAAAACAACAATAACCTAAATGCCAACCTGGAGAAAGATTTGTATTCTTTTTAGGATGAGAGTCTATTCTTGGAGAATAGTTTCTTCATGAGATTAAGATTCTATAAGTAATGAGATGTTGCTTTTAAAGTTGCTCTTATATATTGTCTAAATTTATTTTTCTGTTCATACTTAAGAATTGAAGTACTGCCAGATATTTATGAATGATAGCATTCTGCCTTTAAGTTGTCAACTGAAAGCCTATGTTTTTTTAAGTTGAAGGAAAAAGTAACAAATTCCACAGAATTGCAGCATCAATTAGAAAAAACAAAGCAACAACATCAAGAACAACAAGCTCTTCAGCAAAATACTACAGCAAAACTGCGAGAAGCTCAGGTAAACATTATTTGAATTATTGGCCTTTTAAACAAAAATTAAGCCAAATCATTATTCTTTTGTTGTGGTGAAACTAGATAATGCAAAATACTCGATTATTAGCGTTTTTGATAATTTTCAGTATCTAAATAATTAGAAAATCCTTTTTCTTTTGATTGGTATGTTGAAAGTTTTTCTAAAATAGTTGAAAGCTATTTGTTATAAACAAGTGTATTTATTTATTATAAATTAATTTATATAAAATAATTTTAAGTTTATTAAATTTATTAAATGTATTTAGTTACATTTATTATTTATAAATAATAAATTCATTATTTATTATTTATTAAAATACCTTATTTGAAAACTCAAAAATGGTAAAATAAAATATCCTGGTTTAGTTAGCCCAGTACAGAAGAACATTTTGTATTTCCTACAATAGAACTTAGTATTTGTGGTCATTTCTTTTCCTGCTTCATAACCATCATGTGAACATTGGAATTATGGGTATAGAAAATATAATTGATTGGGTTAAATTTATACAAAGTCTACAGCATAGATGAGAATATTGAAAGAAGTTAAGTTTTTGTTTTGTTTTGTGAAAGGAGGTTGCCCATATGTTTGAAATGAACTTGACTTTGGTATTAGTTTATTAATTCATTGAATATTATTGATTGCTGTGTGTTCATCACTGTGCTTAGCACTGAGAATAGAGAGACGCCATGCCTGCCCTCTAGGAAATGGCAATGTAATGATATGTTCCTAGAAACTATGTTCTAGTTTGAGGGAGGCAGTAAGTAATATGCCTTTCTCTCCCTTCTGAGTTTGGAGGGTGGCATGGGAGTCAGATGCGTAGAGATCAAAATATTGGATTCATTTATTTGTTGTTTTATTTGATTAGTCAACAAATATTTATTAATGTCTACTCTCAGCCAAGGGACTGATTTTGTGAACATGGTAGTGAACAAAACAGACAAAAATGTTAGCTCTCCTGGAGCCTAGGAAGGGAGACGAACAATAACCAAGGTAAATAGACAAAACATATAGCATATTGATGGTGAAAAGTGCTGTGGAGGTGAAAGAAGGAGGGACAGGGAGTAGGAAATATCTGGGAACCGAAGGTGGGACTGCAGTGTTAGGCCTCTCTGGGAAGATGAAAGGCTTGAAGGAAGGGAGGGTGTGAGCCATATGGATATCAGAGAGGAGAACATCGTACGTTAAAAGATCCTGAGGATGTCTCAGGAATAACAAGAAGTCAGTAGCTGGAGTGGGTAAATGATGGAAGAGTTAAAAGGGGCACCATCATAGAGATCGCAGGGGATCAGAACATGTAGAGGCTCTTAGGTAATTTTAAGGACTTTATTTGATTCTGAGTAAGATGAGAAACCATTGGAGGGTTCTGAGCAAAGGAATGAAATGATCTGACTTACCATTTTGCAGGATTATTCTGGCTGCTGTATTGAGAGTAGACTGTAGGGGTACATGAGTAGAAGCAGAGAAATTAGCTAAGAGGCTACTGTAATAATCCATACAAGAAATGATGTGACTTGGACTGGAGTGGAAAAGTACAGGTAGTGAGAAGTGGTCAGATTCCAGATATTAAATATATTTGAGAGGTAAAGCTGACTGAGTTACTGATAGATTGATGTACAGTATTGAGAGAGAAGTCAAGGATGACTCCAAGGATTTTGGCCTGGGCAATAGGAAGGATGGAGGCCAAGCAAGATGAAGACTGAGAATCCTATTGGATTTGGCAACATGGAGCAGGGAATTATGCTATATGTTAGCTGAGAGAGACATCAGTATATTGGAGGTAAATGGAATTATTGGAATAGATGCTATCTTAGTCCATTTGTGTTGCTATGCAGGAATACCTGAGACTGGGTAATTTATAAAGAAAAGAGGCTTATTTAGCTTACAGTTCTTCAGGCTGTACAAGAAGCATGGTGCTATCATCTACTTCTGATGAGGGCTTCAGGCTGCTTCCACTCATGCAGAAGGCAAAGGGAAGCCACTTGCGCACAGATCACATGGCAGGAGAGAGAAAGCAAGGGAGAGGGGAGGGAGGTACCAGGCTCTTCTAAACAACCAGCTCTCACAGGAACTAAAAGAGCAAGAACTCACTCAGTATGCAAGAACAGCACCAAATCATTCATGAGGGATCCACTCCCATGACCCAAACACCTCCCGTTAGGCCCCACCTGCAACATTAGGGATCAGATTTCAACATGAGGTTTGGGGGGCAAACATCCAAACTATAGCAGATGTAATCAGCCAGGGAGAGAGTATAGTGAGAAAAGTAGACAATTGTAACATAAAACATCTGAGGAACACCAGCACTTAAGAGGAGGGTGGAAGAGGAAGAGAGCCCAGAGAAAGAGAGAAAGAGCAGGGTGGTTAGGGAGAACCTGCCGAGGGGAAGCCAGAGGAATAGCAAGAGTCAAAAGTTGGTAGTAATCAGGAACTTCAAGTGTGGGTGTGTGGTGGGGATGGCTCAGTATTATAAATGGAAAATGTCCATTAGATTAAGCAATTAAGAAGTAAGTTGGTAACCTTGTTAAACATAATTTCAATAAAGTGATAGAGATGAAGTCTGATTTTTGATTGATGACTAAATGAGCGATGAGGGAGTCAGGAAAGTAAGTATAAATTACTTTGAAATTTGAATGTGATAAGGACTAGGTAGAAACTAGAGGGGTTTGGTCTGGGGAGTTTATTTTTTAGATGAGATAGGCATGAACATGTTTAAAGTCTAGGACAAAGGGACTTGTAAAGAGGGAGTTGTTAAGGATATTGGAGGAGAGGTGACTGAAGGAATAAGGTATTGGTAAGAAGCTACGATGCCGCTGATGCAATGGGGGAGGGTGAATTTGAACCTGTCTACTGAAACTTGAGGTGAATATATATATA